AGAGTCAACATGAGGCAAGGTTACCTAGGCGTCTCTAGATTATATACCCGTTTTGTTGAGGCTTTCTACTCTTCTTCGGGTGTGGGGGGGGACGTATTTCAGCCTAGTCTAAAGTTCTTCGACTCTACCACTGCTCTACCACTACCCATTCCAGAGCTTCCCTTCGGGCTTGATAGGTCTTACTGGCCTTAGTCCAGGGGTCACGCCAGATCCATGTAGCCCAGGCCTCATATTTTACCCAGGAACTCTACACATTTCCCCAGAGAGTAATGTGCTATAGCCAGACTGCTGCAGCCAACAAAGGTGCTATTCGGGCGCCATGAAAAGCACAACGAACTCATATCGATTCAGTGCCTTTTATAATAATTCATCAATGTTTGCACATCACAGCAGCCCTGCAGCATATCTGTTTCACCTGGGCGTTCCGTAGTTCAAAATGTTGGAGGGGGAATGGGCACTGACTGCAAAGGTTCCCCACTTAGCAGCAAAAGATTTATCAAACACCATGACAAGTCAACATGAAGTCGATCGATGCGCTTCTACCAAACAGTAGGAATGGAATTTTTCGTTTTTCCCACCAGCTACTGGAAGAAACGGCCCGACCGCACACAAGCGAAGCGAGGCATGGGACCAAAAGCGAACTCTCAGCTTCAATGGAGCTCCCGAATGCAGCTCCCATCCAGTTATCGAGCAGACCTGCGAACCACACCACCTTCCACCTGTAGGACGATGAATAACTTTCGGTCTGATCACCTTTGAGCATTTTCAGGACGAAAGCTCTCGAATGGGAGCTCCCCACAGAGCCTTCCGACTGTGGAATCCCCTAGTTTCGTTGAGTCTCGAAGCCTAAGGGTTGTTGCTTGGTTGAGCACTTCTTCCACTAACCACGAGCAGTTCTTCTCTGTATAACGAATCTCTATGAACACCGAAAGAGGCAAAGAAACGCTTCTCATGCGGTTTCCGACCTCTATCGAAGAAGGAGACCCAATGCCTAACGGAACAGTTGGTAATTAAGCCCTTGGAAAGAATTTTCAAGAGGCTCTGCCACAGTGTAATGAATAACGGACACGAGATGAGAACAAAGCTGTCGACCAGAATGGTTACGTGCGGCAACGGTCTCCTCTATTGCGAAACGTGATCGATAGCCATATAGATAAGGGCTGATTGTGGAACGAAAACTGAAGGGGACATAGACGTTTCCGAAACACGACGACGTTGCTCCAGCACGCGTATGGAATGCCCCAAAGGCTCGGTGGTTACGCGAACGTCAGCATGATTCATGAACAGTCATTGTGTGCCCGAATACGAGCAATCCTCGGAGATGACTGACGTGTTGATGAAAGATGGAAAGAGTGGTGAACGGGAATGAGGCTTTACTCAAATCCGGAAAAGACCAGTATTCAAAAGTCATGTACAGCCAGTGGCAGAGGCAAGACCGGGTTTATCAGTTGCATTATCACCACTTTTATAAGGTGACAGACTACGGTAATGGAAATTGCTGAGGTGTTCATTAGCTGATCGTTTCTTGTGAAACGCTAGAACATTCCTGAATACCGATTGAGTGCAACTGAAAAGAAGGATGTGTGGAAGAAAGCTTCAACCAGCAAGGTTAGGTAGCAATTAAAAGCTGCAAATGTTCAGTTTAGGCAAAGGTAGGGCCGGGAGTAGTGGCCAGCAGTCAGTGTTAGGATCGGGCTGTAATATTTGTCGACATAGCCGCTTTTGTCCATTCACATCCGTGGAACGGGCTGATTGTTGGCTGTTTGCACCCCAGACATGGTCAGACATTTTTTACTCCAGGGTTCCCCTCCTCACTCTTACAAAGCCGTGAAACGTCGAATGAGAGCAGAAATTGGGTGAAAGCATAATAAATAGAGGGGTGTAGCAGGGTAGGGTCGATGGGAACTGTTCCGTATACAGTTGAGATCTAATTTTTGACAAAGTAACAGCTGTAGCCGAGCTTATGAGGAGGTGCTGAGCCGAACTGATAACTTAGAAACTACTTGTTAGCAGGCTTCACATGCAGCCGAACACATCATCTTCCGAGGTCGAAGTTCCAACCAATGGCTTCTCTTGCATCTGGCTTGAAGAAATCCGCCGAAAGCAGGTGCCGGAGTAGACCACAGTGAATACTCCAGTTGCATGAGAGCATTACTGTGAACTAACGGCACCCTCCCCTAGCCCTTGTCCCCATTTCCCAAAAAAACTTTCTACCAACCCTAACTTGAGGCAGAATTTGTCACGAAAAAGCACGGGCAACACAAACGCAGACTGATGGGTTTTGTGTCGGTTGGTACCCAAGTAGATGACTGATGCAGCTCTTGCTGATAGCGTATCAGTTGTTGGTGACGCTTTACCCCAAGAGTCAGATGGCTGTGGACAACAATTCCCGATAGCGTTTCTGAAGACGGAACGCGTCAGCTGGGTAAATAAGCATTTTTTCTATTAATTCCATTTAATTTCATAGCCCGATTACCCCCCTTATATTCGAGTATCTTTCTCATAAATATGTTTTTTTCTGTCCTAATATTATAGCTCATCTTTGATTCTTCAGACAAACATTCGACATGAGCTCCTTTCTGAACATTCGACTTATCGACCACCCAACAGTTTTCTGCCGTGGAATGATTTCCTTTCTTCGCACCGCCCCATTAGCCTCAGCTAGCCCTTCCTATCAGGGTTTCCTACTTCTTCTGCGAATTTCTTGCATTCCTCAGAATTCCTTTCCTATTCTCCTTCCCTTACGACCGAAACCATTCCTATCTCACTTGTTTTTACTCCCCACTCCTTTCCTTACTAGTGCTCTGTCTGAATCAAACACCTAGCTGTAACTGTAACTCTGTAACTTTTAGGCTCCATATGACAGCCCTGAAATTTTTCGATTTGATAAAATTCATCCTAACGATTCTTTTTATTCAGTCCTCTCTACCAATATTTCACGCTGGTCTGGAAAGCTGACAATTGAACGTAGCAATTCCTGCTTTCTCATCCCTACCATGGAATTTAAGCACATTTTTTCTATACCGTTTTGGAACAGGGTCACTCTAAACATGTGGGCGGCATCTATACAAATTCCCCTTTGGTCGCTTTGAGCTTTGGGTAGAGGAATTCGTAAGTGGGAATCACCTTATCTTCACTTCCAAAATGGCCCTCTTCTTCAACAGCCGTCCATGCCCACAAGGGCGCAGGAAGAGCCTTTTATTGAAATTGTCTGTAGCCGTGTTCGGTCTTGAAGACCGTTGTTACTTTTCAGACCTTCCTTCTAAAATGTGTTTGAATAAAGCGACATGGTACTGCTGCAAGTGTGTCCACATAAAGGTGAGACCGTATTCCATATACTACTATGTACCATTTAAATGGCGAAGTATTTACGTGGCCGAGAATCGTAGTGTCAGTCAAATCGAATTGCTGGAAGTTGAGGTGAAGCCTGGCTAGGCTTCAGATTAGGGCAACTATCTGAATGGGAGTGTATCATGGCTTACCAGGCCCTCCTACAAACTGAGGTAAGCTCCAAAAAACAACAGTATTTAAAAAAAANAAAAAAAAGTACAGTTTACTGTAAGGAAGTCATTTTGACTTTACTGAAAATAGGTCCTGGGCCGAGGATCGAACCTTTCTTCTAACGAAATTCTATTGAAATTCCTCTAAGGTCCGTTGATTGGTAACAGACCCTCCTGGAAGGGTAAAAGCACTGACTGTATGTCGGCTGGCCACAGCAAGTCATGGTGGAAGGCCACAGACACTTCGATACGCCAATTAGACTTCTAACGGAACTCGAATGTGGGGTGCCTCTGGTGTCGAGGTTGATTGATGCCAGAGAGTCCATCTTTTTTTATCATTTGGGTGTCTCAAAAAATATTTTATTATTTTCTTAAAAAGATGGATCCTTTTTCAAACAGTTTTCAGACATTAATCTACGGGATCCTCGCTACAACTTTAGTGACGCACCTCGCTGTGTCCATATTTCTACTCGTCTTTTCACTGTGGTACGCATTCATACCTTTGGCAATCACCCTTCTTGCACATGCCGTTGGATTTCTGGCCATTCGACGACACTCCTACCTCTTATTCACGATCTTCATGGTTTATGAGGTAATGCTTCTAATCTCTGGCGTTGATATGAGAGGCGAGTACTCCAGTTGAAAGATAAGGCACATCCCATGAAGCAGAACTCTTGCTTTTAACTGCATTCTCATAAAAAAAAAACTCAAAGCCGTTCATTACACGACCACAGCACCACCTCAGTTCACTAGCCTTCAGTTTCATCACAATGACTCATTTTAGGGTCTCTTCATACTGGCACTATTAGCTCTAGACGTATGGCTACTAATTGTCATGGAAATTAAACCGTCACTCAGCTTTTTTGGCAAAAAATGTCTTGATTCGAGTCACGAAAGCGGTGCATGCGAAGGAGGTGCGTTATAAGTGCCGCGCACCGCGTCCGCTCGCATACCAGACCAACGATACGACACAGTGTGTATGATTTTTATTACGGTGAAGTTAAGAAATCCGAAAAAGTGCAGCGATCGCTGGTGCAGCCGTTTCTGCTATTATTCTACAAAATGTTTTGGTTCTATGGTCTGGGATCAGGAATTTCTTCCACTACCTTCGTGCCACTCCCAGAACGTGAGTGCGCTCAGATTTCAGATTTTCACTATTTTTGAAATCAGGTTGTATAATTGAAAACAGAAATCAGAAAGTAGAGAGGATCAGGATTCCTAGTCAGCCGATATCTCAAGTATCTCATGAGTTTTATGAAGGTGCATCGCATTTGATTGACTCGAAAAGAAGAACAGGAGTAAATTCACTTTAATAGTAGATACTTTTATAATTCTTCTCGAGAAAATAAATGTGTTTTGTTTTCTGAACATTGCGAAGTGACTATTATCATCCTCCGTGTTCTGCCCAATTTAATACCCCTGAAGAGACCAAGTGCCAGGAAAACAGCCCACCCATCTATAGCTGGCAGGATTCTCCGTCGATCGCCTTTGACTGGTACATCGATCACGTTTTTTGTTTTGCTTTTAATCAGCTCAAAGCAAAACGAGTAGCTCCTGTGGGAGGTGAAGGCAGTGCTGTGCCCCGAGAAGAACTACCCGCTACTTCCCATTCGCACAGCACGAGCTCTGCCTCATAACTCTTACGCCTACCTGAATATTTCTTTTTACAATTCCTCCGAGAAATGATAACTAATACTCTCAACCCTTTTACAATTCCTCCGAGAAATGATAACTAATACTCTCAACCCTTTCGTTCAGGAGGACGGCTACCGTAAGAGCACCGGTAGCTGGAGCCGCTCAAGAGGTTCTACGTGCAGTGCCTTCAGCTCCGAATGCATCTGATTCGATGAGAAGAGCCGTGCAACCCCAGAATCCCGCCACAGACAGCCGTACTCAACTCTACACCATCTATTCGCCCACAGCTCATCAACCACAACCCACCGAGTTCGTCTCACCCGATGTTCCTGGCCCCTCAACGAGGCTTTATCCTGGTCAGGAGATCGTGAAGGTGAACCCGAACGAAGAAGTGTTCGGCTCGCCTACAGGAGCTTTTCGTCAATTTGAGCCCCCTCCACCATATATGTAGCTGTAACAACCCAATCCACTGACTTGAGTCCTTCGTAAATTTCAGAAAATTTTGGCCCATTACACTTACTTACTGGAGAGATTCGAAAATTATTTATGACTACTAGAATAGATGAGTAAATAACCATAAATGTTGCGGCGATCAATGGAGGGGGACCATAGTGAAGGCAAATTCGATGAATTATCTGGGTGAAAAAGAGTTAGACAAACTAAAGCCGACAAAAATTTAATAAGACGAAGAGTCCTCGGAATTGATTAAATGGCAAGGTCGCATCGCGACCGCACGCGTCTATGCCTTTCACGTCGCACGCAAGCGTCGGGTATCTTGTCTGTTGAATTTTGTATTCGTTTACGTGTTAAACATGTACTAACATGTTCTACATGATTAACATGATGAAAAATGTAATATGCTATGTATGTCACGTCAATGTCAATGTAAATAGACCGACCTAAAACAACCTTACACAAAGTTAGAGTCGACTATAAATGTGTGGCGCTTTCCAGACCTTTAGCTGGCAGACAAAGAAATTCATTACCTTATACTCGATTCATCACTGGAAACCCTAAGTAAATTTCATGATTTAGAGACCGAACTGAGAATCTCTCGGCAAAATTGTATTTTTCTATCTTTCTGATGTATCTGTAGGATACCATTAGTCTGTTGTCAATTACTCTCATTTAACCTACCTCTCTCCTCTCCTCTCCCTTTAACCTATTTTCACCTCAGGTATTGAAAATCTTGTAAATAAACATAGTTGCTTCGGTTTTAGCAGTCCCGCCCCTATTACAGTACTCACTACCAATAACTGCAAATGGCTTCACAACACAATTTCAAAACCTTTTAGTAATAATGTAAGCTATATCCATAATAAATGAATTCATGTGTAATGCCAATTTTTTAAAGTCCATTTCTTTTATCTTTTCTTTGGTTTGGGCAAGAAAATCACGAAAATGTGAATAACAATACTAGGTCGGAACAGGTGGTTCTGACTTCACAGACTTGGTGAGCTCAAGAGAGGAGGAGGTCAGGGTTGCTTGCGCAGTGTCCTGGACTCCTTCACGGTTTTCGCAGAAGGGTTTTTCTTGGTTCTATTTCTTCTCCGAAGAGGCACATTATTGAGGCTTTGGAACTCTTCATATTCCTTCTCCAACTGTTGTTGCTCCTTGAGCGCTTTCTGGAACACTAAGTTCTGTCTGGACAGACCTGGAAGTGTCCACAGAATATACGAACTTACCTCGTAAGCTTCCTCAGCAGCCTTCAAAGAAGCATAAACACTGGTTCTTTCCTCATTATTGTTCGAGCCGATCACCTCCAGGAGCGACAACGTAGACTGCACTTCTGCTTCGCATTTCTTGATTTTCTCTTTTACGGCAGTACGAGCATTAATTAACCGTCGATGCTCCTCTTGAATAATCGAACATTTATGAGGGAAAACTGATCTTTTTTCGAGTGAGGTTTTCAAATGGTCATGTAATTGAACTTGTAAATACCTTGAGCGAGATATTCTATATCGAATCTGGGTTTCTTTTTCTTCTGTTCCTCGAAAAACTCATCTATTCTTCTTTCTTCCGACTCATCTCGAGGTGGACGTTGTTCTGGACAGCGAAGAATGAGCTTTGTATGATACCTTGAGAGAAAACTCTTAACAGGAGATATTCCTTCGGACATTCGCGATTAAACCTACTTTTCAATCACTTCGAAGAACAATGAGAACGACTTGTGGGTGGGCGCATCACACAACTCAATCACCTAGACAAAAAAAAATTATCAAGGTGACCTCTCATCAACTGCCAAAAAACCTAAAACAATTACCTTCGACATTAGAGGATCTCGCGGCTTATGATGATAAACGAAATTATCAAACGCATCCAGAAGGTTCTGTAGTTGGCCTGACTTCATGCTTTCCTTGATAAAGTACGACAATGCAGATGTATCGTATACTTTTCGAAGTTTCAACGAGGCGAACGAAATCGTTTCACACGTCGGCACCTTGATTTCCGAGAGCATCTCATCATTTAGTGCTTTCAGAAGCCTGCAATCCTTCGATTGGGAACTAGCGGACCTTTGGTATCAAGCCTATTGTGACTTACACGATCTCGGCAATAGCAAGCACGTCTCCGTATACTTTCTTCAGGTTATCAACATCTTGGGGCAACACTGAGACTGTGTCAAATCTGAACACAAGCACATCATCTTTTTGAGAAAGTACCGTATTGGGCTTATTCATTGCCCATGTTCATGCCCTTGAAAGAAACAGAGAATAAAGGAAAACAACGAGATGACAGTGAATTGAGAAATCCAAGTGACTGCAACATACACGGTGGATAAAAACACAACAGTAAAAAAATAGTGAGAGGAGCCACTGTATCAAATGAACTATAAATCCTACTACAAAAAATAAGAAGTAGTATAACCGGTACCTTTTGTTATCGCTTTCTACTTGTCCATATGATGAAGCGTTTTTAATAGGTTCTTGTTTCTTTTTGCTGAAAGCGCTATTGATAAAAACATACTGGCTGGATACGTTGGCGTAAGATATAAACTATATAAATATATCATAATTTATATGTAAATAATAAGGTTGTGCCTAGTACATGAGATAAAATAAAGTATGGGAGGAGGAGAACAAAGTGAAACAGATGTAAGGAATGAAAAAGGTGGAACACAGAAGGGACACAAGGTAAAACTGATGAAGATATACCCAAATGGCCAAAAGCGAGGTATGTACTGAGGTCAGAGAGGAAATGGAGGATGTAGCGACGCGAAACGAAAACGATGAAGTAACATGTTATGGAGATGAAGACAAGAAGAAAGAGAGAGGAAGGAAGAAAATTCACTGAGAACGACAACGATATAAGAAAGGGAATGATGACCGATCTGGAAAAACAAAAAAAAANNNAAAAAAATGGGTGGGTCAAAAAATAAAGAAAGACAAAAAATGAAATTCAAAGGAATAGAGATCGACATTGTAACCAAAAGGTGTCAGGAATAACTGCAAAAACTTACGTAGTTGTTTTGCTCTCGGTATCCAGGCACTCCTTTACTTTTTCTCGTGCCGCGTCCATCTTGTCAAAAACCTTCTTGAGTTCAATTGACAAATTATCTGATATATAAAGAGGTACAAAAACCGTTAAATAACTAGAACCGATCATTAAGACAAACCTTCAACTTCTTCCAAATTGATGCGATAGAGCGATCTCCTCGATGCCGCCTGTACCACTCCTTGTTTGGTGTCTATTAAGCGGTCAATCTCCGGTATAGACACTTGGACCAAGTCTCGCCCAACGATCTTACGCGGTTGCATTCTATATTCGAAAGTCTGAACCAAAGAATATTTCGATAGGAGAAATTGTAAGAAAAATAATCCGATAAGAGAGCAAGGTGTCTAGACAATACCAAAAAAGCAAACTTTGCGACAAATAACTTTTTACTCACTTGAAGAGTTTCCGGTCCTTCAACTTTTGCCAAACCAGTGTCCACTGGTTGTTCGGGTACCGGCTGCTCCCACTGATCATAGGAGAAAACCGCTCTAAATAGCATTTCTTAATTTTGTTGACAAGAAATATTTCGAAACTAGTTTTTCCATGCAGATGTAAAGCTTCGGAGAATGTGCCAATGCTGTCTATTCAAAATGCATTATATTCACTTCAAAATATGTCATACCCTGGTGAAAACGTTTCACGGCTTTCGGATGAAGACGACTTTTCTGATTCACAGTCTGATACCGGAGTTCCATCGGCGATGTGATTTTGCAGAAAACTCATCGCGTCGAAGAATCGCCACCGTTTCGCTCTTAGCGGCTGTTTCTTCAACATTTTTCGAGTTCTGCGATAAGTGCGTCTGAGATTCGTCCATACTCTCTTCATGTCGTCCACTAGAACAGAAGCTTATTGGAAAACATCATTCCTAAGAAATACTGAGTCGAGAGTTAAAAATTCATATCGGGACAACTTTTATTCATATTAGTGGCAGCAATGCGCTGCTCTAATTGAACTATTGAAAAAAAAACTCGCACCGAGTACGATGCCATCAATCATCCCAGTAGAAACAATCGGGATTTCTAAAGCTTTTTAATATCAATTAGCACTACTCACCCGGGAATAGAATTCCAAATTGCTCGTTCATCTCCTTAGCCACCTCTCTCCAAAGTTTTGCTTTCAACCACGAGTTGCTAACTAGAGGACGAGACTTATTCCAAATTATATCACGTCGACCGATGCTCAGAACAAGTGCTTCTCGCATAGAATCTGTCCATTTGTGAACAGTACCATCGCTCTGCTGTGTCTAGAAAAAAGACAATGCCATCTAGCTGCAGTGAATCTTAAAAAAACAAAAATACCTATGAGTTTGCAATTTCTTTATCTATAGTAGGAGTCAAAACGTAATCGAGCTACACAGAAATAAAAAATACTCACAATAGGGGACATAGGTTCATGCTGGCTGCAGCCTGCATCTGAAAACTCATCAATAAAAACCTCAAAAAAGTTATAGAGATACTGTCGCGATAGAGAGGAAAGTAAAAGCAGATGAGAGATTAGGGTAAAAACTGTCAAAAAAAAAAAACAATGAAACATTAGCAGATGCGAAGAAATTGACTAACCTAAATCTATATCTTCGTCCAGTTCGCTAAGACGTCGTTCATTTCTTTTCCTGGACGCGACTACCGGTTTTTCTTCGCTCTGAAAAGTACAAAAGAAATCCAAGCAAAATAAAGTAGTAGGTACAGGATTACGAGGAAAGAATGCCTGAAACGACGTTGCTATTTCTTATACCATTCAGAGAGCATCGAATTAGATCTTGCAATGACTTACTGAGCTTGTACTCCCTTCAGATCGAGGTACAATCTAAGAAGTTAACGCATGAAGCGACCTCATGATCGCAAATAACCAGCTCTGTTACTTGTCAAACATCGATGGGGCGGTCAACGCTTTCTTTCCTCTACCTACTTAGCACAACTTTTTTTCGCGTATCCAGCAGTTTTTGTAGATGCGATGTAAACACCAAAATCAGCAGCGTACAAAAAAGGGAGCTAATCGAGAGTGCTTCTATGAAATATGCTGCTCCATCGATTGCTGGCATGCTGCCTAGTAATGAACTGAGCTTTGTCCCAGTCTCGCTGTGACCACGGCGAATACGCATCCCAGCCCATACCCTTGGGGCCCAGTGAACGATATCAGACCGGTCTACGGAAGAAACGAAGGCCAGTCTTAATGCAGTTATTTGGAAAGAAAGTGCGATTGAAGCCGAATAAGCAATACCTCTCGAAAATGAAGTAGAAAGGCATCATTGGGCTGAGTAATATCCCATATTCAAAGAATTACGATAAACAAATGTATCAGATAATCCAATCATCAAATATGTTCCTCACATCTTCAATAACCTCGGGCTCACCCGTCATCTGAGCACCATCCGGAGATCCAGCTACTACATCATTTAATCTTTTCGCTTCTCCATGTCGTGAAAATCGATACTGGAAATGTTCCTTCAAAAAACACATTTTTACAAGCACGGCCGAGAAACACCCACCCGTCGCACTGTTCTGTTCTGGAAAAACTCCAAAGCGTCTCGCTCATAGTGGGGCTGGAACGAAACTGTATTGTATTGCCCGAGTAACAGGCATTTGAGAAAGAGTAAGTTTGATAAATGCAACATACCTGACCATTTCGCCCACTGCTTGCTGATGTTCCAACGGGTTCAGAAGAGCCTTCACCCTCACCCTGAAGAAGCTCCATTTCATCTTGAGCCCTTTTATCTATGAAGTGGATCTACGGTTCCACTAAACTCACAGGAACGGCTGCTGCTGCTGTGTTCACAGCGTTGCGGAAGGGACATCGTACTATATTCATTCCCGTGACGGACCTACACAATGAAGTTCTACTAGTAACTAGAGCTAGTACAGTTCTACTAGAGCTATAACTACAAGATTTATAACAAAATGTAAATAAACATAAACAACAGTCAATAGGAAGATGAAAGAAAAAAGGGTTAAATTCAGGTTACCTGAATGCACTAGAAATATTTCTTGGAGAAGGTCAGCGCGAAGTTTACACATCGAAGTGAGCCAACGGTCCCGTTCGCCGAAGCGCCCGCTGTGTTGATGGTGAAAGCGATCGATAAATATGGAGGACGCAAAGGGAAGAGACGCAGGAACTATCTCATGTCCCTCATTTTTTAAGGTTTGAGCTTTTTAAAAGCTCGTGCTAAAACAAGATTACCTACAAATAAATAATTGCTAACCAACTTCTAAGACATCCAAAATATCTATCAGCTTTTTTTTCGTTATCAGTAACTTAGATTGAAGGGGAGGACAAGCTCTTCAGAAAAGAACTTCAACTACAGAAAGAGATTTTATAATCGAAAGAAACGTAGAGGAATCATAGAGTGGCCACTCCCTGATGAACTTTATCACCGTATATTCTGCTAAATGCCAACATTTACCACTTCCCCCTTCCTCTCTTCCTCATCAATGAGTTAGGGACTGACTATTCATAAAACTGCTGGCCTTCCTGTAGCCAAAGCCAACGTCAAACCAACTTAGTTCCGGTCGAGCCACACACATTGGAGCTGCTCGCTGAATCAGAGATGCGGCCATAAAATCTTCCCCAACAACCTGAATTTCATTTTTTACCCTATCTCGAAAGCACTGCCCCCAACAACCACGTACATGAGACACCTATTCGTGGATTATTTTTAGAATAAATAGCAGAATATATTTAAAACAGTATCGTATGCCTTGTACGCAACTGCACTTGGTACAACTTTCAAGCGTCACTTCAACAGGGCTGACACGGTAGAAATTTAACCATGGATCTCAAAAATTAAAGTTGGCTGAGCAGGACTTCGTGGTGCTGGAACACCGATCACTTTCCGAACCGCATGACAGGCTAGAATTACAACGAAGGATGAGACAGCTTATCCCAAATAGGTAACCCTTCGTACCTTTTTTTGTCATACCTCCAAGAGCCAATGTGGTCAAGCAAGCAAACATAGTTTCCACAACTAGCTCATTTCCGATCTCGTGCATATACGCATACACAAATATATTTCCTATTCATCTCTTTGTCAAATACTTTTCCGAACAAACTCTGGATGAAATTTCTGTCCAAACCCATCATTTACAGTGTTGCGCAGTTCAAGAAATTATTTCAGATATGCGATCGTAACAAGAACCTATTTAAGAAAAATTCTACACAACTTTATTCTAAATACACTGTATAAAAAATAACAGATTGAGTCTACAGAGGAGCAATCTCTTTGCCTTTCTCCCTAGCCATATCTGCAAGATCCTGAGGACATGTGTGCATGTATCCTTTTCCTTCTGCACAAATTTCCTTCATTCGAGTATACGGATCATAGCTTCTGAAAAATACACTCATTCAGTCACAAAAGGAAATAGTCTGGTCCGAAAATCCTAATCCCTAAACGGAGGCTAATAGGAGATATCATGGCCATCTGTGTGCAAAATCGGAGGATGGTTAGCAGAATGCTCCCATAAAACGGTACTCATAAGACAGCGAATAAGCTCCGGAAGAAAATGAAATCGTGTGCAATTGAAACAATCATGAAGTACCGGTTCAGCCGAACGAAAGAGCATACATTTTATAAAGGTGGTAAATCATTCAATTTTCTGTTGAAAGTACGTGAAATTCAGGATAATCCAGAACGGTAGTAGTACTTAAGGACAAACTTTTGGCACATTTTTTGAGATTCTTAGTTGTAATACGCGAAAATGGTAAGATTTCTTTATTTAAACGTGAAAACCTATTCAGCTCAAACCAATTTCACTTCAAAGCTGTTGCAATGAGTAAACAAAGAGTACGGAACCAGAAAAAAAGAAAAGAGCAATATCGCGTAAACCCACTTGAAAAATTGTTCATATTTTTCATGTCGCGGCATAACGTAGAACATGTTGAACGCAACTACTGCAGCTGCGGCCGCGGTGAACCCCACGGCTATGGCTCTTCGACCGTAGGAATGGATCATTCCTCGCATTACGAAAGGAGGTGCCATTCTATAGAGTAAAAATTAATGTTTATTGGTAAGGTATGACATATGACTTCGAGATATCACGACGAAGAATATTTCGTTTAAAAGAGCCTCTTAATTATCAAAGCAAACTTTCCACACGTATAGGGCGCATAAGGCAGTTTATACAACAATCTAGTTGAAATAGCTGGTGAACAAGTGAGAGCCGGCGGTACCATTCTCGCAACGGTCTCTATAGATCAACGAAAAAAGAGGGCGACAAAAAAACTCCTATGCAAGGTTTCTGCAAGACCCAAGATTAGGCTTTTAGACTGAAAATTGACTGTACCAAGAAGCCTGCTCTCGAAAATGAGAATCAAGCTTTTATCCCTTCCCAATTAAGCATAAACGAACCGTTGTTATATACGCCGAACAATATAAAAAGGAAAAGGAATATTAATGTGAGTTAACTGCGTTGATGTTGAACAATGTAAAGTAAATAAACAGTTTAATATATAGACAACTATCAAAAATGCAATCAGAGAGAAAATATACTACAAACTAATCTTCTTGATTGATAGGTACAACTCTGAATCACATCAGACGAGCCTAATGGAGCGAAACGTTACCGTGTATATGACCAAAATAGAAAATTCTAGGAACAAAAACCTCCAAATGCTCTCGTTATACTGCGATCCGAGTTGCTTTTCCCTTAATAACCGACGGAAAATGGATCCTGTCAAACCCGAACTGTGAAGCGATAGCCTTCTCACCTTACTTCGGACAAGAAATCATGTCGCTAAAAGGACACACCCTTCTTAAAAATAACCAGTTCATTTCTAACACAGCAGAAACACAAAAACTTTACAAGTAATGCCAAAATGTATTAATAATAACGAAATAATCACTCCAAAATCCCAACACCGGATGCGCCGCCCGTGACACCGCTTTGCATGCCGCGCTACGATATTGGCGCTGGAGCTCCTAATCTTCAGCCTAAATTCTTGGTAGGTCACGCATATAAAAACTGGCTCAAGCAGAATAATCAAGCTTTAATTCTGTCGTACTCAGCATTATAGGTGGCGTTTGTGTATTACATGTGGGATTAAGCGGAATTCCGCTTTTTTACCTCATCAGGGCAGACTTTTTAGCTTTTTGTTGCATATTTGTACCATTTCTTACAATTATTCGTTTTTTCTCATCTTCTCAACAGCAACCTCTATCTCTTTTTCCTGTCTTATCTGATGACTTTTGCACAACAGACTGATTTCATGTCTTCTTCTTCAAAATGGTTAAAAAACGGAATGAGGGTAAAAACCCTAAGCTGAAGATGAAGCCAAATTATGGGCCTGTCAAAAACAGACACACCTTCAGAGGATCAAATCACAGTATGAATCCAGGTAAGCAAATCAGAGTTTTGATATCTTCGATCCAAAGATTTCTAGTAAACGGGTCACTCACTTTCTAAGTTTCATGGTTCTTTGCAGATCGGCCAAAAGATGCGAAAAGTTCACATCTTCGCTCTAAAGCTACAATTAATCGCTTGCGGATGTATAAAAGCTTCAAGCCAATACGGTTAGCCTTCAAATGATTGCGCTGCTGCTTATTTCATGCCATCAACAGATCAATCACATGCTTGCAGAGACAAAGATGGAACGATTCTGAAGGCAGCTCCTTTCCAAAGTTGGTTGAAATCGGGAACTGTTGCACGAGTTGAACCAAACAGAAAATGGTTTGGTAAGTGATGTAGTCCTAATTTACGCCCTAATTAGCGATTGGAACGCATGAGCCAAATTTTCGTTCGATTTTAGGGAACACAAGAATCGTTGGTCAGGACCAGTTGCAGAAATTCCAGGAGAATTTGGGAAAGGTTATGCGCGATCCTTTCCAGGTCGGTGTTTGGTGGTTCCCATCGGGCTGTTGATATCGGTAGACTTATGAAAGCATCATTTCAGGTGGTGATGAAACAAACGAAACTTCCCATCAGTTTGCTGCAAGAAAAAGCTAAGGTGTGCGATTACTTGCTATTTTGACAGTAGTCCAGGTACTCATAATGTGTTATCATTTTCAGCAACAGCGGGTACATGTAACCGATACAGAGTCTTTCGAATATACATTCGGGAAGAAAGCTCTGCGGAAGAAAGCAAAGTTATCATGTGGCAACCTTGAGGTTTGCCTAATTTTCACTCTGCTATGGGCTCTTTATAGATGCCAGTTAGTTACACTGCTCTTCAGGAAATGACGAAGTCAATAGAAGAACGCAGTGAAAAGTATGATGTAGCGAAGGATCGTGACCTACAGGCGGATGATCGTGACTTGATTCGTGTTGAAAATCCTAACCCACTTTTCAAAGCCGGTCAAAGTAATCGTGTTTGGGGAGAATTATACAAGGTAACTTTTCCATTTATCAGTAGTCATGAAGCTCATCAGTTTGGGGGTTGAATACAGTTTGTAATGAGCTATCTTCCTCACTTCCAGGTATTGGATTCATCGGATGTTGTAGTGCAAGTGATTGATGCCCGCGATCCTATGGGTACTCGCTGTCGCCATGTGGAAGAGTTTTTAAGAAAGGAAAAACCTCACAAGCACCTTGTTACTGTCATCAACAAAGTTGATCTTGTTCCCACATGGGTTACTGTGAGTTCATCAACGTATTCGTTTCAGAATGTCTTGGAAAGTTAGGATCAGCACTTACCGTAGTTGCGTAGATTTTCTTTATGAATATATTAGGCCTCTTTTGAATAATTAGTGTTGTGGGCGGCATAATTTCTGTCCCGTCAAAGTACGGAGATAATCGTCAAATAGCTTCCTTTCAGCGTAAGTGGATTGGCGAACTTTCAAAGGAACTGCCTACAATTGCATTTCATGCATCAATTCAACATTCTTTCGGCAAAGGAGCCCTGATTAATTTATTGCGTCAGTTCGCCAAATTGCATAAAGATAGACAACAGGTAATTAGTACCAGATTTTCGATATTTATCAGCATTGCCAATTATATAAAACATGGAATAACACCTCCATTCGAGTGAACAGATCAAAACAACCTTTATATCACAACTTGAGCTATTAAATGACACAGCATTAATTGTGTGGTTCCACTTTAACAGTATTATCAAAAAGATGCTTAGGATCTGGCTCTGAAGACGCATCATCCGTAGAAACTGTTGCGTCTTCGTGAGCTGGATTCGACCTGTCGACCGAACATCGCTTCTTCTTTCGTGGCCCAAAACTTCTGTTTTGAAATTCCTTGTACTGCGCTTCCAATCGCTCTTGATCTTTCTTCGTCTTCTGAAGCAGCGGTCGGATTTGAAAACTTATAGGAGCACTACGTTTGATGAGCTCACCTCATGCATTTGTCGAACATTTCGTAATGTATTTTCTAGCTCTTCTCTTGTCTCATTATCATCTGGTTCCACCATTTCAAGCAGAGACTTTGTGGACTCTATTGCGGACACATATTCCACAATTCTCTTAGCAAGCACTGCACGCATACGCGTAAAACGCCGCTGTTCCTCTAAAAAGGTTGTTATGACCTACAATAACTAGGAACTCGAACAGTATCTTCAAAAAGTTCTTTCAAATTTTTAAGTGATAATACATGTTTTACCTGCTCCTAGCTCGGTCAGCACATGCTTTTTTCTTTTTCTGGTAGGTTTAGCTGTATCGTTGTTGAACTGAACCGCAGACGAGGCAGAGCCCTTTTTCCCTCTTCCTCGGGCGAACAAGGTGTCAATGTTCTTCCTTGCCTCGTTGTCGATTTCTGCCCAGCGATCATCTGGGCATTTCAGACTGGCTATATTGCCGCGTCTAAAGGGGAAGTTTATAAAACTAGATAGTACTCGCATTCGAATTGTACGAGAGACCCACTTTTCAATAATTGAGAAAAGAGCCGCGAAAGCTTTTTGCTTGTCGGGTTCACAACCTTTGATTACCTATAACAATAATATTTTTCAAGGTTTTTTTT